AAGGGTTCTCAGCCCCGACCGCCTCCCACTGGCCCTGCCGACGACCGCTCAGCGCCGCTCTAGGGGGCGGTCTGCACCTGGAGGTCACGAGGGCCGACGCCGACGCGCACCCCCAGGTTTGAGGCCTGGCGTGCGGCGGGGGCCAGGCAGCCTCCCGGCACGGCCTCTCCCGCTGTGACACGGGGGGGGGGGGGGGGAAAGGTGTGCGTGCCTGCCCTCGGCTGGGTCACGGTCACGAGGCTTCAGTGAGCCGAGGCCTCTCGGTTAGCGGGCTCGGTGCCGGCACCGGGGGCACAGGGAGCACGCGCCGGGCGTGGCGGCCTCCCGGCGGGGGCGGGGCGGCTGTGGGAGTGAGGCCTGTGGGCGCCCCGGCTCCGCCGCGGAATCTGCAGCCGCTGCTGCCGGGTGGTCCTGAGGCCTCGGGTGTCCCCGCCACAGCGGAGCAGAACTCGCTCGCCTATAAAACCGGGCGGCTCCGATTCCCGCGGCTGACTGTGAGCGTTCACCTCGAGGGGGACACCTGTCGGGCCCCCAGGTGCAGAGACGCAGCGCGCGGGGGCGGGCTTGTTACGGGAGCAGGGTCTGGTCCCCGGTTCAGAGGCAGGGCACCGGGCGGGGCCAGGGGTGCGGCTGTCACCTGGTGGGCGGGGCCCTGCCCTCAGAGCCGGGGTCCGGGGAGGGACGGCGGGGAGGGCTCTGCACTCACCTGCGGGCGCTGTGCCGCCCGGCCCCTGTCCGTGGCGCAGGTGAGAAAGAGGAGGCTCTGGTCAGGGAGGCCAGGCCGCAGAGGCAGTGGGTGGCTGAGTGGGGCTCGGACCCTGGACCCGCCTGCGGTGAAACCTCTGCTCTCTCCACCAGACGGCACACCGCTCGTGCCTGGTGCTGGGCGAGGACTCACAGAACGCTAGCTCCCTTTCCGACCAGGTGCGGTGGTCGAGAGTGTGCGCCTCCCACGCACACGCAGGCCCTCGGGGCAGCGGGCCCTGAACTCACTTCCTCGGAGCCACGGGAGCGGGTGTCTCTCGGAACCGTCCCGCCGGCAGCTGGAACATGCCGGATCTCTGGCTCCGGCCCTCTTCCCGCCCCAAGCCCTGGCGGGCGCGGGCGGCGTCCCCGCCGACCCTTCTAGGCCTGGCGTCGGCCCGTGCCCCCCGGGAGGGCTGTGCTGGCCCCCGCCCTGAGCCGGCGCTGTCGGGGGAGGGCACTGGGACCGGTGTTCGGACTCACACATGTCAAATTTGCTCAGGCAGCCACGGGACCTCCTCTGCAGGAACTGTGGTGAATTATGTGATTGCACAGTTCAGATGTATTGTATAAACTAATATATCCACGTTGATGTATGTTTCATGTTATCCAGAAAAGGACTGAAGAAATAAATGGATGTCGTTCAGTCTTTATAATTAAACACGCTAAAATGCAGAATATTACGTAATCTAGAAATGGAGGGAACTTGCACAGTTTGAGTTATGATGCGCAGATTATGAAAGGTGGCAGATTTCAGCCCGGACGACTGTTAGTGGTCTGGCTCTGTGGTCGGTAGGAAGGAAGTCATTGTCCGACTTGGTCGGTTCTTTTCAGCCTGAACAGGACTTCATGGGAGGCGGGGCCCCTGGGTGGTTCACTCTGCTGGAGCGGAGCAAAGACGGTGTTGGGAGTTTTTCGTTATAATTTTTAAATACGCCTGCCTGTTCTCGGGAGGACAGTTTTGAAATTTTGGAAATACTCTTTGATGAAAGCGGTTTTGTCCCTTGAAGGACTCAGGTGCGTGACGAGCCTTTGAGGAGTGACTCGCTGCCCTGCGATGCAGGTGAAGCGCCTGGGGACTGGACGCTGTTCCAGGGCCCCAATGCTGTTCCAGGGCCCAATGCTGTTCCAGGGCCCCAATGCTGTTCCAGGGCCCCGTCCACGGCATGCACCGCTCCCACCCCTGTTCCTCTCCCTAGCGCACTTTAGAAATGCCGGTCACCCTCATCTTGGAGTCGTTGAAGAGGCCATTGTAGCTTTGCAGTCAGACTGGGAGCAAGACGTCTCTGTCCTTGCCACCCTGGAACCAAGGCGGCGGAATCTTCTAGACCCTGCCGGGCTGCGGAAACAGAACTGAGTGCTCGGTGGCCGCTCACAGCCGAGTCCTTCCATTCTCGGTGCACATGTCTTTCCAGAATTGGACCTGCCTGGGGAGGAAGGGCTCTGACACTCCGACCCCACGCTGGCAATGACCCCTTTCCCACCTGCACTCACAGGACCGCCCCTGGGACGGGCGCGGGTTCCGGGCAGCAGGGCCACCTGCCTGGTCCAGAGCCTGGGAGGTCGCAGAGCCAGGTGGCTACCCAGTGTGGGGTCCTCCAGATCCTCAGGTGACCTGCAGGGAGTTTGCTTTTTATGTTGTAGACTCTGTTACTTAAAGCACCCCTCACCCCTGCCAAATAAAAGAGTTTATTAGAAGCTTTTCCGTCTGTAATAGGCTTGCCCGTTTGGCTCCCTTCTGCTTTCCTGTAAAATATGGTTTATGGTATTACATTTTATTTTTAACTGAAATACTATGCATAATGTAAATAACTCTTGACAGGAAGAAGAGATATTTAATGTAACGCTAACCTCCTGTCAGTGAACAGGACAAGCAGATCATTTAAATTTATGCTCCACTTTGAGTTGCTGCAAATATAGCCCCATGTGTTTACTTTGGAAAATGTGAGAGTTAAAGAAATCTACCAAAGAGTGATTTATGGCTGCCTTTCCAGTGTTGCACGTTTGTCAGAGACTCTGTGGGGGACTCCCCCTCACCCCCTCCCCTTCTGGCGGGCCTGTGGCCGCAGAGACACGGGCCGGCCTTTGATGGAGGCGTGGGGGCAGAGAGACTTCACTCTCGTGTTACCCCGAGTCTCGAGAACTCGGGGGGGAGCCTGGTCATCGGGACGCACGGATGTCGCCTTCCCGCCTGACGCGTTGGAGTCGGGACGAAGACGGGGCGCCCTGGTCCTGGTGGGCCCCGGACCTGCCCACGCACACCGGCGCTTCGGGGCGCCGCGGTGCTCCCCAGAGTCACTCACAGCAGAGATGTCGTGCTTCCACAATGCGCGCTGAGGAAGACGCTCCGGAATTTACATAGCGTCCTCATTCGTTAGTGAGCCAAGGTTCTGTAGGCGCTGGGTTGCATTCTGCACACACACACGCGTGCTCACGTTCCTCTTGTCCGCGCGTGTGTCTCCTCGAAGGCGGGCGTGCGGGAAGGAAGGGGCCGCCCCGTGGGGCCTCGGGCCACTGCCAAGGGCACGTCAGCTGCATCGGTTCTTCTCTTGGGTCTTTTTCTTGTCAGTGTTTTCTTTCTTTCTTCCTTCCTTTCCTTTCCCTTCCTTCCTTCCTTCCTTCCTTCCTTCCTTCCTTCCTTCCTTCCTTTCTTCCTATCATAAAATCTCTGGAGCCGTCTGTGGACTATCCTTCTGTCCACGGTGTTCTCCCCTCCCCCAGTCCCGTGGGGCTGCCGCTTTAAACCGCAGGGCCGGCGGGCCCCGGGGTCCCGTCTGCACAGCCCTGGCGAAGGGCGGGGCAGTCGGTGGGGGCTGCGTGTCCGCAGAAAACACCCCCATCCATTCTGAGTTCGATTCCTGCCTGCGGTGAGCAGGTGGAGGTAGTGTTTTGCTTCAGTAACAAGTGATTTACATTTTTTATCGCCCAGAAGTTCGGATTGTCATGTTGTTAAGATCGGTCGGTCTCACAGCGAGAAGAGTTATTCAGCTGGAATCTTGTATTCTGGGCAGAGCCTGATTTCCCGTCAAGGAAAGAAGATTAGCTTCTGTCTGTGCCGTGATGTGTGGAGCTTCCTGTCGGCGGCCCCGAGACCCTGGCGCGTCACCCAGCCCTTGAAGTGTCCGTGTGCGCGTGAACGGAGTTTTCTCCGGTAGGGCTGCCTTTGCGAGGCAGAGGTTCTTCTTTTCTTTTAATCATGGTAACTTCTCTGTAAAAAAGACGCGTTTGCTCCCATTTTAGTCTTTTTTTTTGTGACCCCTGAGCTTTCACTGAGATTGCTCTGGTCTCCCAGCATCCTCTCCCCGTGTCCCCCCATCACTGAGCTCCTCGTGGGCCAGCCGTGTGGGCCCAGGGGCCGAGTGCGTGGGGTCCGGCCAGCACGCGGGGACTTCCGGTTTCCTTGAACACGCCCCCCCTCAGGTGAATCAGTGGGAAAGCACAAGGCGGGCCTGTCCCAGGTGGAGCCCGGGTGCCAGACGCCTCAACAAGGGACCCGTCCCAGCCTCTCCCCGCGTGGCCAGCACCCCTTCCTCCGGGTTCTTCTCCTCTGCCCCTTCCTCCGGCCAGAATGCCCAAGCGTTTTCAAAATGGATGGGTTTTGACGGCAGTTTTGCAAACGTCCATCAGGCCCGTCTCCCACTGCCGGAGAGGCCCAGGGCTGGGCTTGGTTGGGTTTGGTTTTTCTCGCCAGCCCGGGCCCACGTCTGCTGAAAGCAGCCGTGTGTTCTGCGACGCTGGTTTTCTCGTTCACGCTAGGAAAACGACGCTGAGGCGCTCTGCAACCCCCCGGACGCAGTGCCTGCACCGGCGGAGGAATCAGAGCCTCGGGCGCGCGCATCGCTGCCCCAGGTCGTCGGCCCCAGGTCCCCGGCCCCGAACTGTGCGGAGACCGTGGTTTGAACAGACTCGGAGACGAGGCCCCGGTCTCCTCCCACTGGCCGGAAGCGGCCTCGCGTTGCAGACCAAAGGGGCACGAAGAGCAGCTCGGAAACTTCGAGATGGAGCCGGGGGCTCCGCGGTGGGAGCTGGGGGTGCGGCCTCTGGGCGGCGCCTTTGTACGGATCCCAATAAAGGTTCCCACGGTTTCAGGGAGCGCCCGTGTCCTTCCCGCGTACCCGAGGCCCGTCACCGCGTCCACGAGGAGCCGCGCCTCTGTTCCTCGCGGGGGGCTGGCCCTACGGGGGGGGTAGGGTCAGTGGTGACGCACGGCCGCCGCAGGCAGCAGGGGTGAGCGGGGCGAAACCGGGCAGAGGGCCATGCTGCGGGCGGAGGCGGCGGAGGCTGCGGAGGCGGGGGAGGCGGCGGGCGGAGCGGGGGCGGGGCCGCCGGGGGGCGCCCTGGGCCAGGACCCCGCCCTGAGCAGGCGAAGGATGGGCTCCGGGGGCCTGCGGCATCTCCCCGCGCAGTCCAGGGGCCGGCCCCGCTCCCAGAGCCGCGGCGGGGACCCGCAGGCCGAGAGCCTGGTGCTCGATGAGCCCCCAGAGGTGTTTGTCCTGCGGGTGTTGCTGGAGGAGACCGGGGAGACCTTCGAAGTGAAGAACTGCCGCGGCGACATGACCGTGCGCGAGCTCAAGGAGGAGCTGGACCTGATCGCCGGCGTCCCCATGAACCTGCTGGTGCTCCGGTACCTGGACCAAGGTGGCCCCCCCAACCCCCGCTCAGCCCCGCCCCTCACCTTTTGTGCTCCCTCGACCCGGGGAGCCCAGTCCCCTTCTGAACCTGCGACCCTGAAGGGACGCCTGCCCAGTGAGCACCCCCAGATGTCAGAACAAACGCCCCCCACTGGAAACCTCGGATGGAGGTCTGGGGCTGGGAAGACCCCGGAGGGCGGGTGCACAGTAGGCCGCCTGTCTCAAGGGAAGCTCTGCGCGCGCGGGAAGACCCCACCCCACAAACAGCCCCGTCTGTGTCAGGGCCCCACCCCCCAGCAGGTCCTTACCCGGGTCAGGACCCCGATCCCAAAATGCGCTGCCTCAGCAGGACCCTCCAGCTCCCCAAACCTTCCTCAGGGACCCAAGTCCCAAAACCAGCAGTGCGTGCTTGAAACTGCAAGCCCCACCCCCCTCTAAAATGCCTATCCTCAGTGGGAGCCCGTAACCTTGTCAAATCTGCTCACGACAGGACCCCGAACTCAAAGCAAGCTTCAAGCCCCCATACTGGACATGAGGATGTAAGGACCCCCAATCTTCCCCCCTGCCATGTCCACCCAAGGGCTCCAAAGACCGAAACAAGCCTGTCCACTGTAGGACCCTAAAACCCAGAACAAACCTTCCCAAGATCGAACCCCACATCTCAAAGCTAACCACGAATGTCTCAGAACCCCACACCCTTCGGCAACTATGTTCATGTAAGGGTGCTAAAGTGTGGACCAACCCCTGCTCACCTCGGGACCCCAAGAGTCAGAACAAACCTGCCCCAGACTGAGCCCCAAATCTCCCGGGTGACCATGACTCCCTCAGAACCCCGAATCCTCCAGCAACTGTGTCCGCACAAGGATGCTGAAGCTCAGACCAACCCTGCCTGCTCTAGGACCCCAAACCCAAGAATACATTTGGCTGAGACTGAACCCCAGGCCCCCAGGCTAGCCACGAGACTATCGGAACCCCAAATCCCTGAAGCCTCACTCCCTGAGGACCGCTAGAGCCTGAGACAGACTGCCCACCTGAGGACCCCCATCTGTATGCAAAGCCCGCCCGCCCTTGAACTTCAAATAAACTCCCTATGCTCCCCTGCCTGCAGCAGGACCCTGAAACCCAGAGTAGACTCAGAGCACCCAGATGGGGCCCCTAAACCGCCCAGCAGACATGGCCAGTTCTGAGCTCCCCAGCCCTGAGCTAACCACACCTACATCTGAGCCCCCATCCATCGGCCGTCTCTATGTATGTCGGGGTGCCAGAGCCCAAAGCGAACTCCCCCCACGTCTCGACACCGACATTCAAAGCCACCTCTGCCCACGTCTGCGGGCCTGGTCCCGAGTTCACCACAAGCAACTAGACCAGAGTCCCAGCCCCAGGCAGAGTGTCCTCGCAGGGGCTCCAAAGCATGAGACAAACCGCCTACAAGGGATCCCCCAAATCAGACCAAACCCACCCATGTCTGCACCCCAAATCTCCATGGAAAGCATGCCTACATCAGCACCCCAAGCTCTAAGCCAACCATATCCATACAAGGAAGACAAGGTTCAAGACAAACCTGCTTACTACCTGAGGGCGCCCAAACTTAGAGCAAACTCTGCTTGTATGTGAAACCCCAACCCCTCAGCCAACCTTTTCCACATCAGAACCCCAAGTTCTAGGCCAAACCTTGACTGTGTCAGAACCCCAAATCTCGGAGCAGACCCTGTTGCCATCAAGATCCCCAAGTCCCAGGGCAGACCTGCCTGGTTCCTCACCCCTGTGCCCCACCACTTAGGGCTACATTGGAACCCCCAAATCTCAAGACAAGCCCAGCCCACATCCCAGAACAGACCCTTCCCTTTACCAGGACCCCGAAACAGACAGTATACCATGCCCTCATCAGACACCAAGTCCAGAGCAAACTCTGCCCTGGTCACCCCCCCAACCACATTTGAACCCCAAACACGGGCACTAGCCAAGTTCCTATCTGAACCCTGAGTCTCAAGCTGTGTCCTTGTCCGCATCAGGAGCCCAAAGCCAGCCCAACCGGGACCAGAACCCAGCACCCACAGCTCCCTGTGGCTAACTTGGGACCCCCAGGCTCCCTCTCCAGGCACCTCCCACGTGGGGGCCCCCAGCGGAGGGCAGACACCCTGGAGCCCATCCTCTCCTCCCCCCGAGGACCTGGCTGTCCCTCTCCCGCCCGTTGCAGGAGTCAGGACACAGAACAGGGTCAAAGGTCCCCCCTCCATCCTCTCCCTGACCCGGGGGAAATCAGCGGTGAAGAAAAGGGGCACAGCGCTGGCGTGGCAGCACCAAGGGCGAGGTGCGGTTGGTGCTGCAGGCCAGTCAAGGGGACGGGTGGACAGGCCCCGCAGCCGCCCCTCCAGGCCTCAGTTTCCCCGTCTGCGCGAGGAGCCCTCTTAGCCGGAGAAATCCCGTGCCAGTCCCCTCCAGAGACAGAAGCGACCCGGGAGAGCTGTCCGTGAAAGGCCGAGGCCCCTTCCTACGCGAGGGTCGGAGCGGAGGCGTGTTTGGGAGGGGCTTTGGGGGCCCTGCCGAGGCTTTCCGCGGAGGGACACAGATCCTGAACCCAGGCAGCAGTCCACATGTTGAAAGTGAGGTGAACTGTGGAAGTTCTTTGGGTTCTCAAACCAGTGATTAGAAAAGTACGTGTCCCGAACCCCACGTGTCCGGCCCCCCTCCTGTGAACTCATTGCTGCCGGGGAGCTGTGCTGAGGCAGCACATTCAAGAAAGCTGAGTCACGGGATTGTGACTTCACTCTGACGTCACAGTCCTGTCCCTCAACGAGCACTGAGCGGCTGCGACGAGAAGTGTGGCCTCTCGGGGGGTCGCGGTCCTCCCTGTGGACGGCCCACGTGCGGAGAGACGGTGGTGCCGTGCTGATGGATGGGATTCGGGCTCCAGCCCGGATGCCCCGGACCTCCAAGGCCCAGGGCTGGGGGGCAGGGGGCGGGGATCGAATGAGATGATGCACGCGGAAGCCCCGAGAGACACAAATCTGAAAGGGGTGAGTGAACTCGTGGACGAGGGTCCCCTGACATGTCCGGCGTCCACTCTCATTGCTCATTTATCGGCGATTATTAGCGTCTGCTGCCTGCATGTCGGGAAGGCGGGGGCCCGGGCTTCCGGAGCAGCCGTTTGGCACGCGGGACCCACGCTCTCCTGTTTCCTCACTGTTTTCAAGGTGGAGGGGAAGACGAGTTGTCCTGCTTGCACTAGTTCCTGCTGATCCTCTGTGTGGGAACCACAGTTAAGACCCTAACGAACAGATTTGCCAGCCGCTGTCTCCCATGTGCCTCCACTGGCTAGAGTGGCAGGTGACCTTGATGCCCGTGGCGCCCAGAGGGACGCGCACGCAGAGCACGAAGGGAGGCAGGTCCGGCCTGGGGCCTGGCTGTGCCGTGTACCGGGGCCTGCGTGTGCTTACCAGCGGACGGAGGCGACAGCTCTCGCTTGTCACGGGGACGAAAGAGGGCGGGTACTTCGTACAGGTGCTTAGTAGCTACTCCGTCACGAAACAAACCAACCCGTGAATTCCACTCGGAGTAGGTCACACGCCCATCTGGGCAGAGTGGAGCTTCGCCTGTGAGGTGTCACTGAGGGAGAAAGCAGATTACTCTGCTGAGCAAGGTGACAGGTGACCCCGTAAGAAAACGTGGGGCATTCAAAACAACAGAGAAAATACAACTTCTGTCTCCTCCCCCGACTCCTGTCTCCCCCAGAGAGTCTGCAGGTATAAAGTGTGAATGGGTTCACCCCGTTTTCCGTAAGAGTAAGGGGCTGTTCTGGGTGATCCGATTGACAAAGGACTCCTAATATCCCGGATCCAAATTACGGCAAACGTCCACATTGCAATGCCGGTTACCATTGCTTCTCAACTGGGGCAGTTTTGTCCCCCAGGGGCCATTGGGCAACGCCTGGAGACTCTTCCTTTTTAATTGTATATTTTTATTGAATTTATTGGGGTGACATTTGTTAGTAAAATTATATAGGTTTCTAGTGTATACTTCCCTAATACATCATCGGTATATCGTCTTGTGTGTTCACCACCCAAGTCACGTTGTCTGGCAATATTTTTCCTGGTTGAAACTGGGGTACGGTGGTCCTGGCGCCCCACAGGGAGAGGCCAGGGGTGCTGCTGAACAGCCTGCAACGCCCAGGGCAGCCCCCCGCCACCCCCCCAGCAGAGAAGGATCCCGTCCGCAATCCCAGCAGCGCCCAGGCTGGGAAGCGCTGTCAGAGCCTATAACCTGAACACTCCAACACACTGTCGTCGCGGCTGCTTCCGCGGCCGCCGTCGTCAGCATCGCCCAGGGCGTTGCAGCCGGACGTGCGTAGCTCCTGCAACCGCATGGTGCTGCGCCCGGGGCACGTTGTTGCCACGGGTTTAGTTCTATTTGCAGAGTTCGCCTCATCAGGTGACTCAGGCTTTTTCACAACAGGATGAGTTATAATTACAGAATTTTACAAATGGTTGCCTCTTTTTGTGTGTGTGTGTGTGTGTGTGGCTTGGCTTCTCTTTGCGCTGAGCAAAACTAATTTTCTAAAAGCATGAACAACCCCAAACAGACCGGCCGTGAGGCCATCCAGTGAGGTCAGTGCCTGGGGCTCTGCAGTTACCTTCACGATGCCGGAGGTCAGGGCATCTCTGCACTAAACCAACCCAATCGTTTACCTTGATGCCCAGTTTTTTTGTTTTGTTTTTTTAAAAAAGAAAACCTGATTCTCCGTAGGAATTATGATGGATGACAGCACACTGAACTTCCATGATGTCGTTCCCGGAGGAATTATTTCATTATGTGTCTGGCACCATGACGGATGGACGGACCTGGTCGCGGCTGCCGTGGAAGGGGACACCAGCAAGGTGTGTCCATAATTCCTTAAGTGGATACCACACTCCACGAGGCAACTGTAAATTGTGTGCATGTGTGTGGGCGGCTGGTGGGGGGGGCACGCCTATGCTTTCACATGGATATCGAGGGGACGTTTCGGAGAATGTGCTTCAGTCCGAATTGATGGAAGGCTGGACCGAGCGTCTCCGTTCACTCGTTGGGTGTGTGGTCGCCCTGCATGCCCCCGCTGGTGACTGACGACCCCTTCGAACCTCCCGAGGGAGTCAGGGCGCACGGCCTCGGCTCGCAGGTGGGTTTTGTGGAGCTGGAAACCTAATTTGACCGCCAGCGAGACGCTCGGGGTGATCCTCGGCCCCGTGTGTCGGAAGGTGGGCGCCCCACCCTCGTGGGGTCCTGCCCCCTGCCTGACACGCAGCAGGCGCCTGCTTTCCGCCAGGCCCTGTGCTCGGCTCTTGGCCGAGCGCTGGGGTGGGCAGTGAGGGGAGGGAGGCGAAAACCAGCGTGTCCACCCAACAGTGAAGATGAATCACTCAGACGCCAGGGGACAAGTGTATGTTCTTTCTGGAAAGTACATTCGGTTGGAAAGCGATGAGCTCATGGTGCGGGGGAGACCAATTCAGTTCTGGCTGGGAGAGGGGTCAGAGAAGGCCGGGGGCGGGGTGTTGGTATTAGGCCGGGGAAGGGTGGGGGTGCTCGGGGGTGCCCCCAAATGGGTGCGAGGCCCCAGAGCAAGGACGGGGCAGGGTGGGGCCTTGCCCAGGTGTCCGCACAGCCCCTTCCACGCCCCTCCCTGCCTTCCTCCTTCTCCCAGGCCTCCTCGGCAATTCGGTGCATGCCTGGGCATTCTGGCTTCTGCTCTGGAAAGGGGGTCCTTCCGTCATGAGTCAGGACGGCCAAGCCCCCGCCTCACGCGTGGGCACATTCTCTGCTCCCGGCCGCCCCGCACCAGGCTCAGGCACCGGGGACTGTGTCCTGCCCCCGCTCCCTCGCCCCTGTGCTGGGAGCCCCAGTCCCCCCTGAGAGGGTGGTGTTCCGGGCCGTCACTCACCGAGAGCCGAGGTCAGAGAGTTCCAAGAGTTAAGGGAGACAATGGGCCCGCAAATGGGCCGGAAGGTCAGGACTCGTCGCGTCTCCGGGGAAGTCCGCTCCCATCTGGGGAGCCACCTCGGGCCGGCTGGGGTCTCCCTTGCCTGCCACAGGCCCCTTCCTCTGGACACCCAGGAAGATCTATTTTTCTCTCCTCCAAACACTGGCAGGAAGAATTTCCTGCCTCCCGAGCCCGCCCGCCGGTGAGCTCGGACTTCCTGCCCACGTGCAGAGTGCCGAACAATGCCCCCCACGCCGGCTGTTTCCCAGCGTCTCCCCGAGGGTTTGCTCCCCTCCGTCCCCGTCCGGAGCCCTCCTGCGGCATCCGAGCAAACCGTCCCCGGGGCTGAGGGAGTGCCCTGTCCCCCGTCCCCCGCCCCACCGGGGCGCCTGTCCTCGGGACACCCCGCGGACTCGCATCTCTCTGTGTGTCCCGCACAGCTCTCCTGCCTCGGCGTGGACGAGGACTCCCCCTACCAAACGGCAAACTCGCTGTATCTGGGCGAGAAGCACTGGAAGGCGTGGGTGGCCCAGAGGGCGTGCGTGGCCTTGTACGTCGCCTCGCACCGGGGCCGCGTGGAGGCTGTCCAGTACCTTCTAGAACACGGTAATTCGGGGAGACCGCCGAGGGCGTTCGAGAGTCGGAGCCTTTAGTGAGCAGGGGGAGCAGAGCGGCTGGTCCCCCGGTCCCTGTGGCAGGGGCTTCCCGGGCCCAGGGCCTGCCAGGCGCCGGCTGTGGTCCCTGTCTGCGGTGTCTCAGGACGGGCTCGCCGGGGGCTGCGTCCCCTCCCTCCCTTGGCCTGGTCTCACGGGACTCCTGTCTGCGGAGGGGATGGAACTTTCCGGAGCGCAGCAGGAAGGGTTCCTGGCCCCCGTGTCTGGCCAGATGCCCTGGGGATGCTCCTCCCCGTCCCCCACTGAGGTGGGGTGTCTGCCGTGGTCCCAGGGGCGGGCCCCAAGCCGGCACCCTCCTCCTGCCGGCCGGCGGGTCAGCCGGTCTGCTTCCTCCAGGCCCGTGAGACAGCGCCCCAAACCCTCGGACCTGCTTCTCATCTCTCTCCTCTCTCTCCCCCCGCTCCCACCTGCCCTTGGCCTGCGTTGTCCCCCAGTCCCCCCTTGGGCTTTGCATGCGACCCTGCGGAGGACGCCGTCTTCCCTGGAGGGCATTTCTGGGGGACGGGGCCCACGGATGGAGGGTCGTTCACTCTAGAACACGGACAATAGTTGGGGACAGCCCAGGCCACCGCTTCCTGCGGAAAAGGAGGGACAGGAGACACACAGGGCCTTTGGTCCGTGGCTGCCAGCCCAGAAGGGGCCTCATCCGAGGGTGTCCCCTGTCAACTTGCCTTCAAATGAGACCCCTTTCTTTCCCGCCCGTGGCCTTGACCCGGCCGCTCTGCACCCCGTCTTTGCTTTTCTCCCACTCCCACAGAGCAAGGTGGGCGGGGGGCACCCCCGGCGCTCGGCCAGCAGGGCCGGGCCGCGAGTCCGTGATGGACAGAGTGTTTCGGCCTCCTGCACTCCGCCTGTTGTGGGATGAAATGTGGGCTTCCACAGGCCAGTGGTCCTTTAAGCTCAGAGAAAGTCATTTTCACTCTGATGGAACTGTGATGTATTTGAAAGCACCCGCTAAAAAATCACAGCCAGCGTCGCAAAGATGTCTGTCCTCTGCAAGACAGCCGCCGTGGAAAGGCGTCTTGGCCAAGGCTGGGCGTCGTGCGAACCCATTTCATTGACCCGTCACCTCGCCGGCCAGCCACGGCTCCCGGACACGGGCCGTCCCCCGGGCCGGCAGCGTGAAACGGAACGGCCCCGTTTCCCACATCATGACGTCTGTCACCCGGGCTTCGATGCCGCTCAACAAGCCCGCATCGGACACCTGTCATCGGCCCACCCACTGGGCGGCAGGCAGTGACAGGCACGGCGGAAGCTCTGGCCTGCCCGCCAGCCGGGCGTCTGTCGTCTGTCCTCCCCCGGGCGCCCGTCTTCCCGGGCGTCGCGCTGCGTTGGGGCCGGGGTGGAGACCGGCCGAGACCGGCACGGCTGCGTGTCCTGCTCCCGCGGAGCTTAGGAAGGGGAGGCAGGAAGTGATTGCAAATAATTAATTCCACGGTCGGTGGTGCACGGCGTGTTCGGAAGACGCGGCCCGCCTACCGGGCATCCACCGAGTTCCTGGGGCGGAAAGGGGGCGTGAAGGAAGGGTGTTTGGAAGGAGCCAATGAGACCTCAGGGAGGGTGGAGTCCGTCCGTCTGGGGGGGAGAGAAAAGGAGGGGAGTGTCCAGCAGAGGGCAGAGCACGTGCGAAGGGCCGGGGGCAGGACAGGGAGCAGGACGAGCACAGGAGGCAGAGATGGTGGGCCCGTGGAGGGGGAGGGGAGACCATTGCTGCAGGGTCTTGCTGCAGTGACAAGGGGGGAGGGGGAGGGGGGTGAGAGAGCAGGAAAGACCCGGAACGTGACCCCGAGGGCTGGGGGTGTCGCCTTGGAGTCGGAGGAGGGTCTTTGGGACGTTCACCGGCGGCGGTAGGTGGGCGGCCGCGGGAGGCGAGGCCACGCTGGCTGTAGGGGAGGGGCAGGGGGAGTGTCGCTCCCTCCCACGCACCCAGTGTAGACGTAGGCAGACACCACCAAGCATTCCCGTCACGGCTGCGGCCTTTCCCCGGCTTCTCTCCCTGGACAGGCCAGGCTGGTGGCCCACCACCACCCCCCACCCCACCCCACCCCACCTCCTTCCCCGACATCCTTGTTTTACAGGCGCCAGCTGTCTCGGCCGGTCCCCCATGGGCAGGACGCCTCTGCACGTGGCTGTGGCCATGGGCCAGTCGGACTGCATCGGCCTGCTGCTCAAGTACGGGGCCCCCACCCTCGCCAAGGACGCCAAGGGCACGACCCCCCAGGCCATCGCCCGGCAGCTGAACCACAGAAAGGACGAGCGGCAGATGTTCCTGTCCTACTGGATGACGAAGTCCGAGAGGAAGGACCCGAAGGACTCAGGCGCCGCCAAGGCTCCCCAGAGCGGGGCGTCCAGCTCCGGCTCCGGCTCCAAGGGGCAGAGTTAGCTCCCACACTGGGGGTGCCCGCTGGTCAAGGCCAGTCTGGGCGACTTCCGGAGAGTCCAGGCGGCCCCCGGCGGGTGGGGAGGCAGGGAGACGCGGCAGTCCGTCCGGGTCGGACAGTAAATGGCCGGTCCTGCTTGCAGATGACCTGGGCAGGAGCTGACAGGCACAGGTACGTGGCGTTCACTCTGTAGTCCATCCCGGCCCTAACAGGCTCCGTGGCGGCCTTTAAGTTCAGGCCGTTTGTACGCAGTGCCCAGTAACGCCGCTTGGGGTGAGGAGAGCCAGTTACCTCCCCCCGTCTGGAGCCTGTTAATGCACCGGGGTAAGGGACGTCCCCAGCAATGACGAGGACAGCGCTGTTGTTATTGTACGAAGCGAGTGTTGGCACACGTCGGGAGGTTCTCCTGAGCCACTCTGGAGGGGTCTGCCGCTTGACTTGGGGCTGGGGCGGGGTGGGGTCTGGGGAGAGCGTGGTTCTCCGGACGTGACCTCCACGGGGCGCCCGATTTGTGGAAAGGTGACACGCTGGCGTGGAACTTGGAGGAGGCCGTGTGAGAGATGGCGGTGAGCTCACAGAAGGAGGCGGCACCTTCTTCCCCCGTGTCCCGCCGCCCGCTGCCGGCTCTCTGCGTTCCTGCAGCAGCGCCTGCGCTGAATTGTAGGTGCTAGAGCTCCCGAGAGCGGCAGACCTGCAGGCCCGCGGTGTGGGTGCGTGAGCCAGGTGGGGGAGACAATAAGGAAGGGTGAGGACTGGGGCGAGCGGGCATGCACTCCCCTGCCTGAAGAGGGCGCTGTGGCTCAGCTCCAGCAGAAACATGGCTCCCAGGCTACTACTAGACCTTTCCAAGCTATCTAGAGCCGGAAGCCTGGCTTTTTGTCTGGTGTTTAAGTGTGGGCTTCCTTTTTTCAGGATTGTGACGCAGCACAAAAGGAGGAGAAAGTTGGAGGCACACCCATAGGACTGCCCTCCCCTGTCAGACTAACTCGTTTCACAGGGGAAAGTGGTAGAAAGGACTTCAGACTCATGAGAGCAGGTCTTGGCTCCAAAGCCACAGGACGCGCATGGCTGTGGACCTGCCACGTGCCTTTCTCTGCAGCGCCGTCCCCTGACACAGCCCGGCCATCGGCCTGCCCGGGGCGGCCTCGCGGCTGGCTTTCAGAGTGGCGGAGCTGGCCCCGAATCCTGGGGCCCTTCTTGCCGACGTAGATCCCAACCGCCGGCTTCGGCTTTTAAATGAATTGGCCGCCGTGCCTGCTGTCACAGTGAGTGAGGTCTGCGTGGATGACGTGGCTTTACACTCGGCGGACGCAGCTGCGCCCAGCTCAGCAATCTGTGTGACAGATAACAGAGAAAAAAAAAATCTACCGCTTAGCATCAGCTATGTCAGAACGGAGATCCCGTGTTGGCAGGCTTTCCCCAAAGTCAATAGGCAGATATTAAATGACCTCGTGGAGTGGGTTGATTCATTTAGCTAATGAGGTGTGTGGGCGGGGGGTGGGGGACTCAGGCGCCCTTTTAACTTAACAAGTGACATCACTCAACGCCGCCTTTCGCCCGCCCGGAGCTCTGCTCCGTCGGCCCCGTTGCCGGGCGAGCCGGCCGCCTGGCACTTGTCCCTGGAACTCCGGAGGCCAGCACTCCGTGTGCTCGTGGCCACGGTTCAGTCGAACCCTGGGCCCGGGACTGGGCGGCTCGCAGGCTCTCGGCGGCAGGGTCACTGAGCCCTCTCTCAGCGGGGGCAGGGGGTCCCGGGGGTTCAGTTTCGACGACCTCGACACCATCCGCTTGCTCCCATCCTAATGAGCCCGCATCACCGAGGCGACAAAACACGTCCGTGGCCACCGGAGACTCAATCTGCCGTGGGTCGCGATCGCGTAACATTCTGTTGATAACTCATTAAACATTTCTTTCGAAGGTTTTTGGTTTTTTTTTTTTGGTCATACTTTGGGGCCAATAGAAAAAAATGGGGTTGGGGAGGAGCGGGGCTGGGGAAGCCATTGCACGCATTTTTGTGGGACTTTAAAATCCACGTGGGCCCCAGGCACTGGGGCTGGTCGTTAGCGAGGAACGGCGGGGGTCTGCAGCCCCACGGGTGGGTCTCATCTTTCCGTGGGGAGAGTGGGATTCCCCTGGGGAGGGAGCTGGAGCCAGTCTTCTGGGCATGACACCCAGCCCCCCACCCGCAACCTCGCATTGCCCCCTGAGGCTGGGCTCCCAGGCACTGGAGCGGGGAGCCGCTGGGGTCGCGTGGAGACACAGAGTCTGAGGTCAGTGTGGACCCCAGCACGCAACCCTGGGGGCTCTGCCCTATGGTCACAGGATGGAGGGGGCGTGGGGCCCGGGCCCTGAGGGGGTCGGGAGGGCCTCGGGAGCCGGAAGCGCCGCACAGATGCCAGCAGTTCTCATCGGAGAACTCGGCGAGGAGATCCGGCCAAGGTCACGAGCTGCATTGTTGATGTTTGAGAGAAAGGGAAGGTGGGAGAACCCCTGGTACCTTTCTCGGACACTCTGAAGTTCCCATCACCAAAAAACCCGATGAGCTGATCCTTTGGGATGAGCGCCCCCGTGGAAACGCCATCCAAGGTCCTTGGGCTTCTTGGTGGCCACGCGGAGGACGATTTCTCAGCATCTCCTTGCCGCCAGGGACATTGCTCACCAGTGTGCTCGTGTCAGCCTGGGAAGGGGTCCTTGGAGCCAGGGAGCCCCTCTGTGGCGATGGGCCGCTCACTACACACAGGTGACAGCGGTGTCGGCCACCAGGCTTCTGTCGCCTTGGCTGCCAGGACGCTCAGGGCCAAGGTGGGGCCCGCCTGGAGCACCCCCTCCTCCTCCCCGGAGTGAGCTGGGCGAGTCTCCCTGTCTTGTCCGTCAGTTGGAAGCTGCCCCAAACCCTTGTGGAGGTCAGCGCGGTACAAATCAGGAAGAGGGGCTACCAGCAACTTCTGGGGGCTGGTCTGGCCGGCCCGGCCTCCTGGCCGTCCGGCCTCCGGCCACCCCGCCCCTCACTGTCTCAGGGGCGGCTAAACCAAGATGCGTCTGGTCTAATGCCTCTGGTGTCCAGCGTCCTCCAGACCCTGGTGCGGGCGCCTCGGCTGTGAGGCCCCCGCCTGGGTCCCTCCACTCTAACTGGCCTTCAGCACTTGGCCATGAGCCTGGGCTCTGACCGCCGATGCTGCCTTCTGCCCCTGGCCTGGGTGCTCCCTGAGCTGCAGCCACGGCCGGTGTTCGCCCGGGGGTGGGAGGGCTTCTTACTGGTGGTGCCTCAGGGGGCTTTGGGTGGCCCCTGACATGGCATCAAGTGACACTGAAACTTACAGTGGGCAAGTATTCTCCTTTTTAAGTTGTTCTCATGTCTTTTAAAAAATATATATATATATAATTTTAGAGACGGGAAGGGAGGGAGAAAGAGAGGGACAGAAACATCAATTGCTTGCCTCCTGTATGTGCCCTGATTGGGGGCCGAACCCGCAACCCAGGCATGTGCCCTGACCGGGAATTGAACCGGCGACCTTTTGCTCTGCGGGGCGACTCCACATCCACCGAACCACACCGGTCAGGACCACTCTCAGTCCCCTTCTTTCCGACAAGGAGAAAGCCCCCGTTTGCTGCTGGTGTGTCTCAGACGCCTCCCCGGCCCTGAGCAAGCTCCCTTTTAAAAATCCGTGAGTAGAGCTGGCCTCTGCTGGCGGCAGGAGTTAATAGCATTGCCTCGTTGCTGGTCTTTTTTGTGGGCCAGGATCCTATTTCTTTTTTCACTCCTCACCAGTGTGTGACCTTGGGGCAAACAGCCCCCTCCAAGGGCCTCAGAGGCTCCTGGGCCTGCCGTGGGGTCCCACCGTCTCCATCCCACCCTGGCCGTGCTGGTGAAAGGGGACACGCAGTGTGAACGGCACCCTCTGGGCCCGAACCCCGGGCGGGGCGGCCCCCCGGTGCTGTGGGGAGGGCCGGGGCTGCGGTCCGGCAGATCTGTCCCTTTAGAGTGTCCCTTTGCCGCCCGCTGTGTGGCTTTGGGGCTGGCAGCCGTGGGAATCAGAGCCTCAGCTTCTCCATCGGTAACATTTGGGTCATGGAACCTGCTCCTGTCCTCACTGCGGGGAGTCGATGCCCGGTGCAGGGCAGACACTTGACACGTAGTAGCCATTGTTGTTGTTATTATTATTATTATTATTACTACCACTGCATAATTCGCTTAAAGCACTGACTCACCAGGAACCAACAGTCTCCCGGTGTCCAGAGAGAGCCCCATAAATTTCCAGCAAACCGTACACAGTAAGAGCCTCCATCCAGAACGAATCATTCCCAAGGTGGGAGATAAATAATTTCCCTAAAACCTTGCTGATTTTGATATTAAGTACAGGGCTCTTCCTCAGCAACTTCTAGAAAGTCGTACTGGACTTCAAACTCCAGGGCCAGTTCTGCAGGAGAGGAAGAGAGAGAGAAAAAAAAAAACAACCTCTGAGGCGAGAGGAAAATTCCAGCGGCTGGCTCTGCCTCCGCGTTGCGCACGGCCTGCGCAAGCATCCAGCAGAGGGCCCAGGAACGCATTAGCATTGAGAAAACACCGGCGCTCGTGTTCGTCAGAGACGTCAGTGGTGCCGCAGTCTGCGCCACGTTTGAAACTCAAGAGCAGGGCGGGGGGGCGGGGGCTGGCAGGCAGGCGCCTCTGCCCGGACCCCTGGGGCTGCCCGCAAGATGTGGGCGTCGTACGCCCATCTCTTCTGGGAGGGCACCCACAGCCCTCGTCACATCCTGCAAGGGTCCGCGTCCCCCCGACCTGCAGGTCCCCGAACGGGGAGACCACCCCCACCACCGGTTGTCACGTGACACCAACACGTCCGTACGGGTCGCCGCCGCACGGGGTGGCCGTGCCTGGTCAGCGTGCAATTGGAAAAGTGACAAACGCTCACAACCTCTGGGGCCGGGAGGTGCGTGTGCGCACACACACGGGTGTCTGGGAAATGGCTCTCGCTCATCACCGCGGGGACGGTGGTCCCGCGGG